CCCAAAGCTGGTCCCCAAAGCTATTCCCCAAAGTTATTCCCAAAAATGTTCCCGAAAGCAACTCCACACAATTATCCAAAGTTGCTACTAAAAATTGCTCCCCGAAGTTCCTTGTAAATCTAGACGAAAGCTGCTGTGCTTCAAAGCAAGTATTCCTCAAAGCTATTCCGGAAAGTTGTCGCTCCCCAAAGTTGTTCCCCGAAATTGCTCGCCAAAGTTGTCCCCCAGAGCTGTACCCCAAAATAGCTCCCGAAAGCTGCTCCCCCCCCGAAGTGGTTTGTAAAGCTACCCCCAAAAGAGGTTACTGCAGTTGCTTAGTGGGACACAGACTGGGGAGAAGAGAAATTTGCCCAAAAAAGTATCACTTTTTTGGGAAAATCAAAATTGGATTTTCCCAAAAAAGTAATAAAATTTCGACCTCCGAGCAGGAGGCTCAGGAAGCACAGGCTGAGTTTGTATTCACACAGACTAAGTTTGTATTCGCCAATTTTCCCCAAAATGTGGCAGGCAGATTTTTGGGGAAATTGGACTCGGGAAACTGCGCGCGCTCGGTCTGTGTAAGGCCAGATCGTAATATTGGTAGTAATTTTAGAAAAACAACATTTTTTTTCGATGCATTGAAATTCGATAAAATTAGGATCACAGGGCTTTGTGATCATTATTTCCAGCCTATTCTTGTTCCCATTCTCCGCCTTAACCCTCCATCCTTCGTATGAATATGACAGAATAGAAATCCTCTATCAATCCCTTGGAGCTATGGTCCATATCATATATGACCCCTTAAAGATACAATTACAACGCTAAAACAAAAAGCATAATGAAGAAAACCAGTCTACAAACATCACTATACGATACTATACAGGCAATTTTAGAATTTTTCTAAATCTTGTTTTCCCTGAAGTAAAGCATAATGTTATGGGATATAGATATAGACATAGGTGTGAATACGCCCAACATATTGCATCAATTCTATCTCACAGACATCTCACAAAGTTTCACGGATAGGAATTGAACTAATTGCACACAAAGCCCGATGACCCTTTAAGTACCGAGAAGTCAGGCAGGCTAGAGAATAGGCAATATTTGATGATTTATACAGAATTTAGCTGTTACATTTTTAATTACATAACATCTTGCCGAATGCATTTGCATCAGCAAGGGAGTTCGTGTCTGCAGAAAGCGTCAAATAGCACTCCTGAATCTTGGCAGAGCTTCCAACAGCAACTGGGAGCTCTATGCCACAGAAGGAACGCACAAATCAATATTGTTACTTCGTCCAAAAAAACATACTTGAACATATTTTTACGATGATGATTCCTATTTCTTTTGTTGAGGAGTCCGATAACGGCAAATCTGCGAAACTTGCTTGTAGCTGTACCGCGTCAAGCTTCGTTAAAAGTTCGAGTCCCTTGACCGCAGCAGCAAAAAAAAAGGGAGGTATTCCACAGGCTTGCTGGCTGAAGCGCTGGAACTGATGCGCAAGGCAACGTTGTTACGACATGTTACGACCTTCTCAGATCTTCTCAGCATAGGTCGGTAAGGAAAGGGATCGCTTGAAAACTTATCTCAAAGAGTCGAGGCATCCCCGCGTTCCGCTGGTGCCCACACCCGGAATGCTTAGACTCCAAAGACACCCAAGGCACCAGCTGAGGCACCAAGTCAATCCAAGCCACAAATCCCTGCAACTCAGCTGGCAGTGGGACTTGCCGGAATTGATGTGGCAACCTCATCCTGTGCCGTGTGGAATTACAACCGTCATGTTCAAGGAATGGTTTTGGAGTGCTTCCGGATTTGTTTCTCCAGAATCCATTGAAGTACCTTGCTGCTATTCATGATGGGAAAGAATCTATTACAATCTATTCACCAAGATCCACTGAATGTAAGACTGTAAGATACTGCAAGCACATGCAGCGGGCAGATGAATCACATACGTCCCTTTTGTCGCCGCTTGCACTGACATCTGTCGGCGCTTGTTGCCACGCTTTCAAATGCACGTAGTGGATCGTAGTGGCTACACAATGGCTATGCTAAGCCGCTAGGATAGAGTTTCTACCCATGAATTTCGGCCTGATGCCTGAGGCCCAGAGGGGCACAAATCAAAGGTGGCCCTCTTCATCTGCAGCTGTAAATTCCACAGGGCTGCTCTGAAGCGAGTAATTTCATGATTGGAATTGGCGAGGTGAAAATTCATCCAGGTCATGGTGCTGAAGTCCCTCTCCTACGGCATACAAGGGCATACAAGGGCATCAAATGTGGCTTCAGTAGGCTGCAGTATGTTTCACTGGTGTCTCTGTGTCTGGGCTTTTTACTTTAGTCCTCCTTTCCCGTTTGAGTGGAATGGGGCGCCGAAGTCGCACTTTTGCCTCGTTCTCTAGAGAAGATGTGCCGGCCATGCATGCTGTTAGTTTGATTTTCCTTCTCCTGGGCACCTTCATGACTCTTTACTGACCAACAGCACAGGATTTGGATGGATTTGGCACATTGTTCCGGCAGCCTTGGAATTGCTCACACATCTCAGACTGGCACTTGCTTTCTCATCTCCATAAGGTAGCACACAACAAAGGCCCGTCGTTGAAGCAAGTAACTCCTCAGTAAGCGCCACTGTACGCAAACCTACACCGCAATGGAAAGGTACTGAGAGAAAACATCCAAAGGAATGTCTCAGGAGCCTGCGGCTGAAAGGCACCAAATTGTGCATGAGAATCAAGGGTGAGACACGTGACTGCCTTGGCCGTGCAATCATACAACATAATCTGCATATGTCTGCATGTCATTTCACATTAAGCTCTGTCACACTCGACCGAAACGAAGTTGCCCTGCTGAGGGATGTGCATAGCCCAATTCTTCGCCCACGGTTTGTATGTCTTTGCGGAGCCTCGTGGGTATAAAACTACCAGTGCTACAGCACAAGATACGGAAAAAACAAACACAGTACAAACAATACCAAGACCAGCTGAAAACCAAGCCTATCTGCAGTATCCATGGAGCTATTGTCGAAGCGTATGCGAATCCTGTTCTCAGCCTTCAAGTGAACTCGTGGGAGCTCTGAGCAATGCACAGAACGAACTCAGGGCCCAAGAACCGGACCAAAGGACCACCGCTCGGGCTAGGCAAGAAGTCGCCCTTGCTGCTGTCCGCACCTCCGGTAGTGAAATGATGTGACATGTGAATCTGGGTTTCATGTGAAGCAGCTCCAGCCAAATTTGTGAAGTATATATTATTAGTTATATATAATGTCAATATAAGTGATATATTTGATTGTATTGGTATATTTGTTTATTATAATTATTTGTTTATTAATTAATCATGTTGCATCATTGCATCTCTTACTGTAATGTACTGCATTTGGCTCTGGCTTCGGGCCTCCACTTTGAACTCTCAGATTCGACCTCCACATGGTGATTTTGCATCGGTCATAGCGTTTCCATGCGACTGGACACGCTGATTCTTTGACGGTAGGCTAAGCTCTTGACACGCTGACTCCAAATCGGGTCAGCGTCTCCTAAGCACAGTGCGAGGACAATCACGGACTATTCAAATGAACTCACTAGTCACCAGCGCTTGCTGCCAGCGAGGAGCTGTAATCTTTGCAAGTTGGCCGGGTCTGTCTATACCAAACCTAAGAAAATTGTCAAGCTTTGTAAATGTTGTCAGGTCGTCTTGTCCCTTCAGTTCTGTTCTTCAGCTTGTGATTAATTCTGAGACTTGAGCAGGTATATAGTGCCCGTTTGCTCATGACTATGGAGAGAGTTGAAGCAGTCTTCTGCACAGCGGGTGTGAGTTCATCCAGCAGGCTGACTCCCAACATGTTTCTCTGAGGTCTCCAGGGCTGAAAAAACAGAGCGACATTCTGCAGCTGTACTCCAGTTTGGGCCTATAGAGTGCCCTCTCTCAGGAGGTTCTGGCGAGCTCAAGCTGGCCTCAAACAATTGGCATGCTTGTCATTGTGTGCGACATGTGCGACATGTGCGCCACTTGACACGGGGTATTCCTGGGACGCCTAGGGCCTAGGCGATCCACTGAGTTTGGCACTGTGAAAACCTGCGCTGGGCTGTGTGTCTGTAGGAGCTTCGTCAGTGCCGGCACCCGAGCAGAAGGCAAAATCGCCTCTTTGGCAAATGATGACAGGGAGGCGGTTGCAGGTTGCAGTTGAGCGCATGTCCCAAATCATCCCAAATCTAAAGGCCAATAGTAAATTCCCTTCCAGCTGTGACTTGACTGCATGAAGTGAATGAGGCAAATTTATGAACATATATGCAAATATGTTTTCTGCAGCCGGCCTTTACAAACATAGTGCAGCCCAGATGAGTTTTATCATCACTCTCCTTCCATCAGAATCAAGTGCTTCCAGAACTGGGATAAGCTCCCTCACGACAAAACTGCTACAAGTTGCCAAGTCATGCTGAGTCTCTCACAGATAACCCAGCTGGTAAAATGTAAGCACCAAAGGCACTGACCTCAAACCAGAGAAGACAAGAACACAAAAAGGAAGCAAACGCAGGGTCCATGCGCTCTTTAATCCAAACGTCCATCACTGAGTCCTATGCTGAGAAGCTTTCTCCCTGGCAACTCCAAAAATTGGATCAGTTTTCTGAATTCACGTAAGTTCCACTGAAATCGATACCGCCATGTCTTGCCATGTCTTGCCTCGCTTGTCTTGCCTTTATCGCTCATCTGGACGAAGGTTCCACCGCAAACTTCGATGTTGGCATCCGCAGCGCTCATGACCTGGGGATCGCAACACCCCAGGTTCGGTCTCGTGCTCCAGCCATGTCCAACCTAAACCATGCTACATGCACCTTGCATTAATTACCCATCATTACCCTGCAATGTACAAGATGATACAAGTACAAGAGTACTACACTAGTACCACTATAGTTACTATGCAGTTTGTAACTTCTATCCATTTCCCCTCCAACATCAACGAACACCTCACCAAGGAAAAAGTGCATCAAGAGCTGCCTTTGCAAGCTGATTCCAAAGGTCACTTCCGTCAGCTGCGCCTACCTGTGCAAAATGCCGGCATTAACTTCAGATTCACACCGGGGACCCAAGAATTGTTCTGCGTCTCATCATGTTTTTGATTTTATGCTTTTGCAGTTGCTTGTAGCAGCTGTTCCGTGCCTTGCCGGAAATGGTGAGAATGACCCTCTTCATCTCCTGCTCGAGAAACGTTGGCAAACAATGGGGAGTCACAATGGACGTCTTTTACCGTGGCAGCTCGAAAATGCTGGAATGCTTCGGAACTCTGATATTCACAGCGCTGCAATATACTGCAATGACATGGGAAGGGACAACCGGGAGGTAAGCTTTGGAACCCGCCTCATCTGATTCTTGAACCAAGCCTTTTCTCGCTGGGCTCACTCGGCAGGGTGTGAAAGCTCCTAGGAATCGACTTGAGGATACTTGAGGCCCAGAGCCCACGTGGCCTGAAATGGCCATGAGGGACACTTAATTAACCCCGCGCCTGTAGCTGAAGGAAACCTTGACCGAGTAGATGCCAAGCCTTGTTTACTGCAAGGGTGTGTCAGCACTATTCAGCACTGGCTTTGATCATTTGCATCTGAGTGATTCTGAGTGCACGGCGATGATGCGAACATGACAATCTGTTAAAAATACGTCGCCGTACCCGGCACCACATGGCAGTCCTATCCTGTAGTCTGAGACGCTGCTGTGGGTGGTTGGGATGTGGTTGGGCTTTGGAGGCGTTTCTCATGCGATCTTGGTGCTCGCATAATTGCTCACAGTCACTTCCTAGCTCTGGATGCCAACCAAAGAAGGAACCAACATCAACTGTCTAAAAAGAGCAAGACGTTTGTAAGTGGATTTGATCAATGATCCGAGCAACTCTATGCATGGCCCCTCTTTTGCAGCCGTGTTGAACCGAGACAGCACCAAATAGCGGAAGAGAATTGCAAAGAAATGGCATACACTACAAGAATAGCATCGCTCACTTCCTCGTAAAAGACCCGGCGCCTGCTTCAACTTGATATTTTCCCAACTTGGTGACATGGCTGTTTTGATTGATAAAATTATTAAACCATATCATAGATAGAAATAGGTGTCTAATATATATATATAATATCATATCTATATACACAAAAAATAAAATATAATCTAAAACCTATGATGCATGATGATGCATGATATGTAAAAATATGAATATAAACGCGCACATACATAAACGCGAACATACATAGATGTATGTATGTATGTATGTCTGTATGTATGTATGTCTGTCTGTCTGTATGTATGTATGTATCTATCTATGTATCTATGTATCTATGTATGTATGTATGTATCTATGTATCTACGTATCTACGTATCTACGTATCTACGTATCTACGTATCTATGTATCTATGTATGTATGTATGTATGTATGATATGCATTGTATGCATTGATATGCATTGATATGCATTGATATGCTGATATGCGGTGCGGTGTTTCCATCAATGCAAACTACGGCATCTTGAAACACACGGATAATGTTTCGATTCCTTTGGTGGCACTCTGCTCTCTGCAGCTCTCTAGCCTTGACAATCGTCGTCCTGGGTGCATCCGGGATGGCCTTGCGGAAGATTTCACCAGGTTGTGGTCCCAGATCCCAGGCAGAAAGGGTCACAGCATGTCTGTGGCCTCAGGGTGATCAACAGCTGCTGCTGCTGCTTCCCTCAATGCCGCGTACCTGGAAGCCGACTCTCTGAATTTGTTCCATCAGCAGTTTTCTGCAGCTGTTCGAAGTTCAAAGTGTTCAAAAGTCATCAGAATCATCAAAGATCCAACAAAGATTGAGTACCCTTGTTGCGTCTCCCCGGGTCGAAGGGCCGAGGATGGCTGAGGTTCACACTCATCTTGGCTGAGATTCGGGGAAGTTGGCTCAGACCCTGCCACCGGCCTGAAGAAAACATGCTGATACGACATCTGCCGAGCTCCGGGGCCAAAGTCCAGCATGCAGACTTTTTTTTTGCCAGGCTGTCGTATCGGTTTTGAGACAAGTGTGCCCCTTGAAATGACATGACGAAATCACAACCTGTTCATCGCATGGCTTTTGTATCCTCCCTTGGCACATCGCTCTAAACAACCCTGCCTTCCCAGCCATGACCTCAGCTTGCAAAACTTTGAGTGGATCACTCCCCTTGCCATGCCAGCATGCCTGCGAGTTTAATCGAGTTTAGAGATCCAAAACGATTCCAACTTCAAACGGTTAGTGTCACTTGAACAAGTATTAATAAATGCTCAACATTCAAACTGCTGAGTTTTGTTGGCCTGACCTGGGTCCGATGTCCCCAGATTTCTCTCTGGCTCTGGTGCTGGATCATGCTGAGATGTGCTGAGGTTTGCACACTCGTGTCTCTGGGAAATAGCCATGTCGATCAGGCGCTCCAACAACACGTCCTTGACATGAACTGAAGCGATATGAAGCGATTTAACTGAAGGTTTGGCGAAATACCATATAATCATATATAATCTATACCATGATTCTAATGTCTTCTAATGACAAAGGCTTATCAACAAACAAGTGAAATTCTGAAAGCCCCCAGCCGTAGACCCAGCCACCACCGCTCGCGGCAACCTGCACGGGTGGAAAACATGTTCCTTGCAGTTTTCATCGCATTCTCCTGTCCTATCGCGCACAAGAAAAACAAGGAGGGCGCCTCCACAACGTCGCCCTGCAGCACAGCAATACCGTATCTGAATGAAAGCTGAACCTCTCAATTTCCTGCAAAACAGCAACCTTGCTCACGTCCTCAAGATCCTCAAGAGTCAGCCTGCGCCAGTGCCAAACAAGAGTCCGCGAAAGCGGCCTGGCAAAGAGTTGAAGAATGTTGAAGACCATGCTGCGGATAAGTCTGCATGAAGGCCCATGTCTGGAGGCCACCTCTTCTTCCTTATCTCCAGGACCTTGGAATGCTGAAAAGTATGCGTAAGCTCGCGCAAGAGATTTGTTTTCATGACCTTGGTGCCTTGGTGCTTCACCAAGCAGATCAAGCTGCAAGAGTATCCTGAAACACTAGGCCATGGGCTTCCAGGTGCGAAATCCTGCACAACTTTTACCAGCCTGGGCAAGAAATTTACGTCCAACACGATCTGCAAAAAACCAGAGAGTATATCAACTTTAAGGTCCGTGCACCCCCTGTTGCGTCCTGAAGCAGCAGCATTTTGTTGCAGGATGCTTGGAATCTTAGTGCCCTTACCAACAGCGATAGGTGATGGTGAACCTGCCACCCCAAAATAAAGCTGAAATATATGGGGGTTGTCCAAAATACCTTTTCCCGGACAGCCCTCAATCGCTCAGCCAATCGCGTAGCAACCGCGGTACCACAGTGAGCAATCGCGGAAGGGTTTGTTCTTCGTTGATCAGATCATATACATAAAATATATTAAAATATAAGTTATGTATTATATAATGAGGATCCATGCGTGAACGCATTCGATTTCAAATTTGGGAACAAAGTAAGCTCGCGCGGTCCGGAAACGGTCCGGAAAACTCACAGTAGTACCAGCAGCAGTAGTACGAGTAGTACGAGTAGTACTAGTAGTACTAGT